TTTACGTGGTAAAAAGTCAACTTTAAATTTAAATTTGCAGGCTTTACAGCGCGCACTCGACCAACTGATGAAACGGGGGCGATTTTAAACGCTACTCAACCATTGTTATTCATCGCGTACCGATTGTACACACGTTGCGATTTAATCTCTTTAATGAAGTGTTAGTGTTATTTAATGAAGTGAAGAAGGCTGCTTCAGTTTAGTGCTCGCTGTCCACGTCGGCGTACGGATATGTCTATATGACGACGCGTAGATACGTGTCTTGCAAATGTTCTGGCTTCCAAACGGATGAAATGCCGAAAGTGGTTCCATGCCCTTCGACGCCAAGGGCGGGCTCGTTCCGTCGTCATTTCCTGCCCCCCGTTCCAAGATTAACCCGCGATTAACCTTCGCAGGTTCCGCCTCCCCCCCACATTCCGCATTCGCGTCGCGTGGCATTTAGTTATGCACGTTCACTCGCCCGACTGGCGTCCAGAATGACGCCATCGGGCAAGTTCCGTGGCCCTGGATCTGCCAGCGAGACAGCTTCCCGAACGTCGTTGTCGCGTTCAGTCATCATCATCATCATCGGGATTGTCAACGCAAAGGCGCGACCTTGAGTGCAGACCTCCATGGCGACCTCGATGCCGAGCGGCGCAATAACGATGGTCAGGGCGACCTTCCGGGCCATGTCGGTGGTCGTCGTCTAGGTGACATGAGCGTAGGGCCGACGTGCTCCAACGTGCCCCACGCAGTTGCCGGGCGTGCCCCGCGGGCAACTGGACGCCCATGGCGCTAGTCATGTAGAAGCGCTGCAGCATTGTACTGCGTTCGCGCTGCGAGCCGTCCCGGGACAATAGGCTCCGAGGGGAACGCCGACAGTCGACGTCACAGCTAAAGGTGCAAGCGTCTCGCGCAGCCCCTCCGCGGCTTGTTGGCTCCGCGATCCCGCTTCGATTGTTTCTCGCGCCGGGGTCCCTTGTTTATGCGCAGTAGGCACTGACGGCTCCCGAGGGGACCGCTTCACCGGGGCGCCCATTGTGCCTGACGGGGGCGCCCGTCTGACACGACTCACGAGGCCGGCCAAGTTGTACAGCTACTTCTGTTCACCGTGCACTCTGGCCGAACTTGACGGGTGGCACTCAGTTGGTCGAACGAGGTTTTAGCGAACGCCGAGTTTTCATCGAAATACACTTTAGGGAATAGTCGGCCGCCGCGAGGCGGCGTTTACGGGTGAACCAGGTGGGTTAACATTTTTTTTTTAAATGAGCAGCGGGGAGGGGGACACGCGCCCTACTAATTCGCTAAAACATCGATTCTCTCAAATGACCGCTGTTCGCTAAAACGTCATTCGCGTATGTGATATACACCCGGACTTGACGATGAGCTCGGAAAGCCTCTTTTGTCCGCCGAGAAAAGATGTTGCGTTCGGATGAAAACCGAGGAGCATCCTCGGAGACACGAACGTTGAGAATAGCAGGGAATATCCAGAGCTCGAAGCAAACGACAGGGAAGTGTTTCAGTTGTCTTCAGCACGAGCCCTTCGATGAGCGTCTCATGATCTTCGAACGGGCACCCGTAACCAAAGCACGACCGAAGGCTAAGAGTGCGTGCTGGAGGATGGCCATCCGAAAGAGACGCCTTGCCATCCAGTCAGTGCACTATAGGGGCTGTTCACTGGGCGCTATATTTGAGGGCGATGTTTAGAGCGCATGCTCAGAACGGGGTCGATGTCACATGAGCGAATGACGTTTTAGCGAACAGAGATCATTTGAGCGAATTGACGTGTGAGCGAATGACGAGGGCGCTGGTAAAGTGAGCGTTCGTTAAAACGTCGTTCGACCAACTGAGTGCCACCCCTCAGAACGAGCTCGCATTACACTCTCAGAAAAAAAAGGGTATATTTTAACACCCCTTGTCCCTTCTACAACTCCCAAAACTTCAGTTCGACGTACAGCGCTGTGACGTCGAACCGACGGTACCAACTTTCACGAGCGGCTTCATAGCCGAATGGTACAACTTTTTTTTAAATAGCAAATGTGCGTGATAGTCGTACACTAGCTATCAGCTACTAGCTAATGTACGAATACAAAAATAAATTAAAATAATCGTTTTTCGTTTGGCTCTTCTGCAAAGCCTTTGTGTTTTATTACTGAAGTCTTTCATACGTACTTTAGTTGTTTAATAAGTTATATCCCACCGGTTTTCAATCACCTCGTAAACATTGGGGCTGTCAGTTCCACGTCAGTGCTCTGTACGTTGAACTGAAGTTTTGGGGTGTTCTATATGGGACAAAAGGGTGTAAGACTACACCCTTTTGTCCCTTTTTTTTAGAGCGCAGCTCTTAGGCGCCCGTTTCCGGCTTGAGCGGCGTCGGCGTTGCCGTCGCCGTTGGCGTAACCGTAAGGTCACGTGACCCCCCCCCCCAGGTCACGTGACCCCCCATGTCACGGCGACCTCAAGGAGTCACCTATCCCTCAGTACCCTTCCATCCACCTCCTCAAGAGCTGCGCTCTAATCCGTCGTTACTGGGAGTTGTAAACGGCTTTCATTTTTTAGAGTGTAATAGGCTGCTAAGACCGGCAATATTGATGGTGCGGAATGTAGGTGGCAAAATAACTGTAGAAGCTCGCCAGTAGCCCGCGCTCAGCAGTCGCGCACACAGCCAGGATTTCTAGCACACTTTAGTCTATAGGGCCGGTTTGCCCGAAACGAAGTGGGTCGCGCGTCGGTAAGACACGCAGGACGCCGTCAAGATAGCGCCTCATGCGGCTCGAGCAGCCTTGGCAATGGTTTTATTTGCGACTGCCCTAAATTAGAGCGACTGATTTGGAGCAAGCCGACACCAGCACCGAACGCACGAGTGCGACAGGCGCCGCCGTTTCCGCCCGTCGTGCGTGTGTTTGCACCGGCTGTTTACTGGCGTCTTTCCTGGATATGCTGGCTTTGCTCTTTCCAACCTTTGCCGTCTGCCGTCTTGCTTATGGTTACGAACGTCGGCGTCTTGCTACAGGCTGCATAAATATCTCAAAAGCGTCGTGGGACTTTTACGAGCGCGTTAAAAGCGTAAAAAAAAAAAAAAAAAAAAAAAAGAAGCAACGACGCGTTTTTTGTTTTTGCTGAAGTTGGAGTGCAGAAAAAGAACTCAATGAAAAGCGAATAATTTTACTCAATTATTTATCTAACTTGTGTAGTTAATTCTATAATTCGACGTGTGTCGTATCCATTGAAACATTTACACGCGAATGAACATTTTCTATCGCTTTTTGCGGAGCAGTTGAAGATACTCACGGATGGCCGAGATTGCGAGACATTTTGTTTTAACTGTAGTGCGAGCACCCACGTGGCGTCTAAATATTAATGGTGTTACACACGCCTCATCGTCGATCCAATGATATCATGAGCGTTGGTAAAGGTTCTTGGCCTCAGTGAGTCGGCGAACACGGGAATGATAACATAGTTTAGTCATGTGCGAATAGTGGATTTTGAGTACGAAGCGAATTCGAAGCTAATGGTGATTTTGGCCGAATATATTCCAATCGAATATCAAATACTTTCTCCGAGCCTTTCACTACTGCACCGAACTTAATTTAAAAGAAAGTCCAGATAAACTCCTGAAGGTTGTTCCCAAGCTTCCACTTGTCCATTTCTAAGCTAATTTTAGTTAAACTGTGTGAACTGTAGCCTCAGAAAGTTTATAGCCTACATTGGGATAGCGAGTAAATGACGCATTCGACATAGAATTAAACATAGAAAGGTCCAACTATACAGAATCATAGAAAATATTAATAATTATTCTTGCTATATGCAAATATTCTTTTTTAAATCTAGAATTTGAGGGGAAAAAAGAAGACAATCATGAATGACGAATGCAGGTTGTCAAGACATTTCTGCTTAACGTATACTCAATCATAATACCTATAGTTTTTTTTAATACTATTGATCTGTGGATATCAAAATTCACAAAGTTCCCGTTGCTTTTTAAATACACCAGGCACGCGCGTGCACCATCCCGCCCTGAGAGTGTCCTTTCCTCTTGAGCACGCAACGGAAATATTTGTATTTATTGAGGTGATGATTGCATGTGGTGGGTTAGCCTGATTGAGCGCGCTTCCTACCGGCATCACATAGAATAATCAAAGCCTGCGAACGGCCCACTCTTCCTCCATGAAACGTCATCACAGTTGGATGGCGCCAACTCAGCCATTGGACCCGAGCCCGATTCCGAGCGTCCTGCGGTGCGTTGATTGCACATGAGGCCCAGCCAAACGCTGACGCAACGCTCGTGTTCAGTCTGTGTCGATCTTCACTCGATCGCACTCTCGCGGAAGCGAGCTCCGCAGGTCTTGCTTCTCCGCAGTGCACTGGTGCTTGGTAAGAAGCGCGTTCGACCCACCGCGATCAACACTTAAAACAAAAATACGAATATCCGCATTTCGTCTCGAAGCAAATATCGAATAGCGTATTATTCGAAACGACTATTCGAAAATTAGAATATTTGCATAACACTAGACATTATACCGAGGTTAATAATGTGGTCAATACAAAAAGTTATTGGAAAATAAAGGAGACGACGAATTTCAGTATTTATTTTTTAACAAATACTGAAATTCGTCATCGGGAATATTACGTTTCTTCAGTGTGGTGCGCAGAAATGTAAGGCTTAAAAAAAATTATTAATAAAACACATTGCACGAAGACAATTTTTTTTATGAATAAAACGTCTCGTTTCTTATTAGTACTGATTATTATGCTATTGCTGCCATCTATATTTCTTCTGGGAAACATTAATGTTCATGCAGTTATTTAACTAAGATCACTTTTTTTACGTAATTTTCCCGAGGAACAGCCGCGAGAGTGCATATGAGGCATATGACTCAGAAGGCAACGCTTTATAGATGATTAATTACAGCCCGGCGTACGAGCAGGCGCAAAGATGAGCAAACACAGCAGACGTCACTGCAAATATACGACCGCGTGCACCTACCATCGAAGGCGAGACGCACATCGGCGACACCTACCTGTTTGCACACATTCGCCGTCTCGCGGCGTACAGTATGTCGCCTCGCGGAACGGTGACATTGCAGTCGTGCTGGTCGATTGATCTGCTGTGCACGTGGCCATCGACACGCAAGCCGACTCTTTCTCTCCATCCGCAGAGTGGGCAACGCAGGAGATACGCACGTCCTTGAAGTGGAACGTCTCCGTATTGCATTATTCACGAGGCTGAGTCACCGCCGAAATGTTGGTCAGCGAGGCTTCCTTTCCTCCGAGTTTATCACATTCCAACTTTTTTTTTTTTTTGTGTTATTAATATTTTTCGGCGAGCAGCAGATCTCAGTAGGTCATGATTGAGCGAAGCATTTTTATCTGTCACGCGTATACCGTATCTAGGGGTACTCGTACAGTGGCTCGAAATCGGAGTTATCCGCGTGCTCTGTCTCATTCATTTGTACGGGACATACGTGACCTTCGGAAACAATTGCTTTTTTTTTAAATTTTATTTTCGATTTATACTGCTTACGCATGAGAACAGCGACGGGAATAACGTATTAATTTCACTAGCATATCGTATACACACAAACGCACATAATACTGTAAAACCCGTTATTTTAGCGACCCTAATTTTTCCGACCATTAATTACATTTCGCGGATTCTAAGCGCCTCTCTAGACAATAATAATTTTAAAAAATATATTCGCGCGATGATTTGCAAATTTTTCTAATTCGCAAAATTATGGGGGCTCGCGAACATTATAGCCGAGGTCACACCGCTCATACACCATACAAAAGACAGTCTGCAAACACGAGTCGGTGGAAAATATTAAACAAAACCAAGCTGTGCATGGGGGTAAATTAGTGACTGGTTACGCGGCAAAGCTTACAGGTCAATCTGAGGCACCTGAAATGATTGGGAGCAAACCGTTGGAGTACACGGATGCTCGAATTGGGTAGTGCACGTAGACACGCGCATTATCGGTATGAGTGCCAAGAAATGAGGTCAAGGATAGACTCGTGTCGGCGGCGTTCGCTGAGAGCAGCCCGACGGACGGGTCGAGAGAAAAAGAAAAAAAAAGAATGGGAGGAAGAATGGACGTTATAATTTCTTTTGACGTGTGTGTAGTATGTTCCCATTTTAATATTTTTTTTATTGAAAGAGTTTTAAACGAGGAGGTTCAACAGCAGCAACAACAACAACAACAGCAACAACAACAACAACAACAACAACAATAATAATAATAATAATAATGATGACCATCAAGAGTCAATTTTATTAGGTGCCCAGGAACAACCGTACGGTCTCGGTGCTGACACACCGAAACTTACACACCACTACAAATTATACGCAAAAATTTAAAGCACCAATAGAATAACACAACGTATACATTGGCGATACATACACGTATACACTATTTCACACCGAGTAGAAAACACAGTCCGAAGTGCACGGCTTGATTATAAGGAAATAATGATATTAATAATTATCCTTTACGTTTAGTGTTCAAAAGGCAGCCTACGATATGAAGAATCATCAAGGAAAGCACTGAACGAATGTAGAACTGTAAGTACTACCTCAATTTAATAATTGTAAGTATAAACAGTACTGTGAAAAGTATTAACAAAAGCACCGTAGAAACATCAAAACTTTACAGTAAACAGCGTACGCTGCAAAAGCTGCAATGAAGAAATGAAATCTCAATTACTTTCCTTTTTATGTCCCAAATCCAAATCATAAAGGTCGTTCTAAAGGTTCTGAATTCCAGAAAGGGGCGAGGCATAGATGGGTTATTTTGGCAGCAGAAGGTGCATGAAAGTTCACAAATGATGGCAATGAAATGCTGTCATTAAAAAGACCGATAACGGTCAACTCATGAAGACATGACTTTCGCGAATCTCACGAATCGAAAAATTGCTAAAAAAATACAAATATGTTGTCCACGGCATCAGCTGTTAGTCGAAGAGTTGAACCGATGGCGAAATTTAGTGCTCGCGAAATTATCCCCCAAAGCGTCATTTTCGTACGTTCGCGAAAGATTAGACCCGCAAATATAACGTCTGTAACACCGCAAAGAAAAAAAAAAAAAAAAAAAAAAGGCGATGACAGGAAAAGGTATTCGCTTCGGTGAAAGGAAGATGGTTATAATTAGACACTGGGGAAGGCTGAACGCTCACCTAATTGTTAATTAGTGGAGTGATAAAAGGCAGCGCCTCGTTTGTGTTTGTGTTCCTTCACCGAAACGATGATTGTAACTTAATCGGCGCTCTGAACGCGTTAGTCACGGGAGCTGTTCTGCTGCTCTGATTCATACGTAGATAAGCCTCCATCATGCACGCTTCCCCCCCGTTCATACTTTTCTTTTTTTTACTTTTTTTTGTTTGTTTGTTTGCGTGTGTGTGTGTGTGTGGGGGGGGGGGGGGGGTATTCGGTACAGGGTGTGTGGATCGAAAATGGATGAGTATATCCAGAGTATAAGTTTATCTTCGTAAAAAAATAATAAATAATTTTCGACGATTTTGTCTTTTTTTAGAGCGAGAGAGAGAGGCTAGAGAGAAGGAGAGAAGTTTGCGGTTTTTTGGAGTTATCTGGGCAGTCAATAAGTCGATAGGGACATTCGTATAAAGAAATACAGTATTCACTATTTATTATTATTATTATAAAAGGAAGCAGTAACATGAATCTTGGCTGAAAATGAAAGCTATTTACGCTTTTTCTTCTTGTTTTTTTTTTATTTTAGAGTGTTGTTAGATGTATATCCTTTCTCCGCATCATTGCTACGAATTATAATCAATATAAGAGAATAAAACCGTATTTTACATAGCAGCGCGAATCATGCTTTTTTTTTGCTTTGATTGGTAGTTGAGAGATAATAGAAACGCATTTGTAGTATGGTAATATTTCATACTTTATAGCGTTACATATGCCTCAAAAGATGAATATAGAGAATATAACGAACCGAACTAAGCAAATTTATAAGATATAAAACTGCCAAGCAAAAATGATTTTTAGAAAGAAAGAATTTTCTACCTTCATTTTTCTCTGGAAATTAATAAATAAAAAATCTACCACAGCTGACTACACTAACATAAATAAAAAAAAAACTAAAGAACAGCAATTAAATTTATAGTCAAATGTAATATTTCAATATCCCTGACAAGCTTAGTATCCAACACAGTGTATCACCTCAAAGATAAGAATGTATTTTCTTTCCTTTTTTTTTTTTTTGGGGGGGGGGGGGGGGGGGGGGGGGGAGTAGCAAGGTTTTTGTAAGGAACTTTCGTGCTATTCGCAACTACTAGAATTTACTCACAATATTCGCATAAACATGAACCATTACACTCAAACCGATGCCCTCTTCCTGAATTTTTGTAAAGCATATGACCACGTTTCTTATTGCCGACCTACTCGCTAAATTCTCCTCACTCTACACTGGCCCTCCCACACTCTCCTGAATAGGCACCTTCCTATAACTACGTCACCAATACACAGTTTGCGAGAATTATCAATCCAACATGTCGGATGTGATCTCTGGCGTGCCACGAGAAACCTGTGCTGGGGCCTCTTCTCTTCTTAATATATACATCAACGACTTACCTGACTCCATTTCTTCCAGAGTTCGCCTCTTTGCGAATGACTGCGTTATTTACAGGCAAATTACTAAACCCGACGATCACCTCATACTACAACATCACCTCGACTCCGTCAATCATTGGTGCGACAAGTGGCTTACGTTCCTGAATAGTTCAAAATGCAAGCTAGTAACTTTCAGTCGCAAACGATCAATATCAGCTTACTTATATCCTCTAGGTCTTCTCTCCACTTCCCACTCCTACAGGCACCTGGGAGTTAATCCTTCTAGTGACCTGTCTTGAACTAACCACGCCATCCTCGTCGCCAGTTCTGCATTCCGAACACCGAGAGATTTACGACGCCACCTTTACTGTGCACCCCCTCACCTACGCAAGTTAGCATACGAAACATACGTTCGTCTAACCCTCTAATTTGCTTCTGCCATATGGAATCCCCACCGGACATACCAATTACTAATCGAATTGAAAGCATGCAATTAATCGTGCTGCACGTTTTACAGCATCATCCTACTCATAAAAGTGTCTTCTTCCTTAAAAACGGGGTCTCCCTACAGCTACTCAAGACACGTCGCATCGCTGCCCTCCTATGCATTGCTCACAATTCGCGCTATTTTAATTGAATTGATTTTATTTAAACACTAGATCTAGAGTTACAGGGCAAAATGCAGATTAGCCCTGACGTGGCCCTATCACCCGTTTACAACCTAACCTAACCTAACCCAAGAGCTATCACATAGCTCCTTGAACCTCCTAACCGAACATGATGCTATCTAACTATACAGCCAAACTTATAAGCGTATTTTCGAGCATGAATCCGCCATCAATAACTCCTCATTGCCACGCGCAGTCATGTAGTGACTCACGGAAAACAGAACCTCACTTTATGGCTCATTTCGAGCCGCTGTCTTAGATTTCCTGAGTGTTCCATAGTTATCAGTGATTATAATGTTCTTGCTTAAATAGCGTTTTATATTTTGTATATTAAATACATTGGTTTTCGTCACTGGCGGAGCTGTGCCCCAAAGAATATTAGAAAGTATAAATTGCGGTGTGTGTATGCTAAACTTGTTTATGGCTGAGAAAATGAGAGGTTCTTCGTTTTGTGTGTGTGCTTTTGCAAGTGTTTATACTTTCCCCTGACGAAATCCCTCTTTTTGTAATGCCCAGAAATGGACCTCCAAGGTATTTTTACTAAATAAATAAATAAATACTCGGGGACAACTTTCTATGGGCGCTCGAGCACGCGCTGATCAAAGCTGTGCACGAGCACTTTTCGCGCAACAGAAAGCTGTCCAAACAGTATAAAAAAAAAAATAGTCAGTTAGGGCGCAGTCTAATAAAAAAGTAAAATTACTGCAACGACGGTGTTTGTTCTTGCACATGTAGCTTCGCGCCAATGTTGAAACAACAATGCTCAGCTTTTTGGGTTTTTTTTCGTTTTTGTTTTGCGTTGCTTGTGTGACAGAAAGAGACCCAATTTTTTTTTCAAGAGTTGAGCGAGATCTAATTGACACGGCTCTCCGTCAGACCGACCGAGCGATCCACGAGCACAAAGTCAATATGCGAAGCGACGCAATTCATATTTGTACAGGATACACGACGACCCCTCCCCCTCTCCCCTCTAAGCCCCTAAAAGGCATTTTTTTAATAAAAAAAAAAA